TAATTATAATAAAGTTACAATAAATTAAGTTAATATATAATTATATATACAGTACCTAATTTATATATAATTAATATATAATTATATGTACAGTACCTAATTTATATATAATACTGTACAGACGATAGTAAGCTCAATTTACCCACCTAAATTCTCCGTAGCGTGGCGCTGGACGGCGGAAAGTAGTTCGGCTGCCCAATGACATTTTACCGAATTATAGGAGTTTTTTACCAGGTTTGTACGGATACCGTCGCAATTTTTCGTCGTCTTATAGGAATCGTAATTATAGGAACCCATGTTATAGGGGGGTCTACTGTACTATGACTTGATTCCTGAGAGCCAAAAGACTTCAGTCAACATCTTAAAATCAGTTCTAGATGTGACTGTGAAAAGTATTTCAAAATTTTTATAACTGTTTTCAGCAGAGTATTGAATTGGAAGAAATGTATTTTGAATAAACTTTTCTTCTGAATAATTTTTCCTTCTGAAGCTAGTTGCAAAGGACATTGGATGCACTGCTTGCTTCAAATACTATGTAATTTGAAGTAGAGCTTGAAAACATTCATATATAATATTGTTTAAAAATCAACATTTTGTTTTTAATCAATATTTCATGGAAATAACCTGCAACAATAAAAATTTACATTCCACTACAGTTAAACATGCAAAAGAAAATATATGCAGAAAACTATTATAAGATTAACAAACTGACGAATTACTTTAGAATTATTTTAATTATAGTTAACATTGTTCAAATAAAAATATATTACTAATATTCTTGTTTGAAAAATTTACCAACTTTGATTATTGTTATATCCAAACAAAATCATCTGAGATGTAAAAATATTGCACCAAGTAAAAACTTATGACAATTTAAATGACAGTCAATTTTTGCTTAGGAATTTTGGCAAACATTTAATTAACATTAAAATAATATAAGTTAAATTATTGAATGATTGTTTAGCAATTTATTTCTGTAAATTAACATAAAAAATACAATAGAAAATGTTTGTCTTTTTTTACTTTCTTGTTTAAACAATTTTATAACAGATTAATAATCTTAAAAAAAGTCATATTTTAATTAAAAATTCAGTACATAAATAATTTTGAGTTTAAAATAAATTCCAACAATAAAAGGCTAATTTGGTTTTTTAAAGATAACTTTTATATTGTCATACTTCTAAGTATCATACTATATTTTGCAATTATGATTGATCCATAATCACAGAAAAAATTACATCCATTACAACAGACCAGACATCACAGTGACTGAAAAACAAAATCACATGTCACAGTCATTTCAAATATTTACAACATAACAAATACATTCACCAAAAATTAGTAAATATTCAGATCTTTTCCATGAAATAAATTGCATGTAGAGAATGGATGACATATATATATCATGTCCATAGTCTTCTTGCTCAGATTTTAAACACATATACTACACAAAAGTCTGGAAACATTATGCCTTAATAATAACAACATACATTACAGTTAGCAGTCATCTTGAATACAATGTTAACACAATCAGAAAATTTTTAACTCAAAATATATATATCAACATTGTAAACAAATAATACCAGTATCAATCAAGTAGGATACTAGATTGCATCCTACAAAAATTTATATAATTCAACCTTTATTATCTGATTTTGAAATACAATCCAAAAGTATAATTATTGGAAATAATAATTATATTTTTGGATTGTATTGCAAAATCAGATAATAAAGATAAATTTTTGTTAAAAATTATAAATAAAACATATTGTAAAAATTTAAAGTATTTGTAAATATTCTATATACCAGGTGATCAAACAAAAGATCTTGCAAGTAGTAATTTGAGGAGCATGGCAACAATGTGACATGACTTTTCACACATCACTGATTCTCAAGTAGTGGGGCACTCAAGATTTAATCTTGGGGGAGCTGAGTTGAATGGATAAAAAAAAAGATTTTAATGCAAATTCAATAAAATTCCCACCTTATGTGATTGTTAATCCATAAGTAGTACAGTAATAAAAAACACAAAATAATATAAATAAAAAAAAATGAATTTTAATGAGGAAAAAAATTTTTGGAAAATTTACTTTGTAGGCAGATACTAGGGCCCCTTGGTCCCCCTCTGGATGCAGTGCTATTCCCAAGTATTGTAATTAAGAATTGTTTTGATAAATGAAAATGGAAACACAATAAAACAGAACCTTCATAGTGTAAAGTCACTTATGAAAATGAACTAATTCATTCATGTCTCCAAAGGTTTGTTTATAAACGTTTTAGTAAATAGCCATCTATAGGGTCTGTGTAATCAAAACAAGTTGGTATAAACAGTGTTGTCTGAGGAAAGACTTCAAAACATTTGGATGTGTTTAGAAGCAAGTTCCATGAAATATTTAAGGTATTTAGTTCAAATGACTGGATTATCTTTTAGTTCTGTTTGTATAATTACAAAAATAATTAAATTTCAGCTTTAGAATTATTCATGAGTGTTAAGTGTTATCTTTTAAGTCAATAGTAAGTAAATGTTCAAAATTGTGTTTATATAACAGGACAATAATAAACATAACTAGTTGAGTGTTATCAAAGCCCTCACACTATTATTAATAAGTTTTCCTTTTGTTTAATCACTTACATTGTTAGTATAATATTATATATAATATAATACTAGTTCAAATTTTTTGAATTACAGTACATTTATTTAAAAGAAGAAAAATTTCAAATGTAGAATTAAAATTTGAAATTATTATGTTGATTTTATGTTTACAAATGTTTCTTTTATAAGAAAATTTTTTATCTTACAGATCAGAATTGCACTGTTATGCAACTAGAAAAAACTGTTCTAGAAAAATATCCTCCTCAGTTAGATGTAGATTTTGTAGAAAATGCTATTTGGCTGTTAACAGAGAAATAAGCAGAATTAAACATTTTTCTTATTACCTGTCTATAAATTTAATAATGATTGTATTTTTTTAAAAAATTATTAAAATTCACAATGTAAATGGCTGTTAATGGAAATTAAATAAATTATTGTTCTTTATAAACAATAGTATGTTGTAAGCTTTTAAATTCAATGATAAAAATTTTTATTATTTATAAACTTAAATGATACATGTAGGTTGTATGATAAAGGCCACAAAATTGTTGGAGTTGAATATTGTGAAAAAGCAATAAAGGACTTTTATGAAGAACAAGGCTTACAATATGAAGTTGAAAATGTTGAAAGTGTGAAAGGAAAATTGTTTAAGGTTTGATACTTTTTGAAAACTAATTAATTTGATTTGATTAAATGATACTTACTCAGAAAACCACTGCCACCTTTGCTTAAGCAAACATCTCATAAACCAAATGATTACTGTATTGAATTGGGCTACTTTACTACTACTATTTATAATTAAATTCTGAATAATTTGCTACTAGAGGTAGGCATTATGTGCATGTATATAATTATATATAACATAATAACATTTGATTTATATAGTTACAAACAATAATTAATAAATTACCTTGTTTTTTTCCATTAAAAATTTTATGTTATAAAAGAAATTTAATATGTATTGTTTTTCAGACTTCTGATGACAATATCAAAATATTTTGTTGTGATATCTTTTTATTTAACAAGTTAGTATTTTTTATTTATTTAAAATTTTTAATAGTTTTATGTAAATTTTGGATATTAAAATTTTAAATATTTTTAATAATAAATATAATAATATTATTATTTTAATATTACAGTCAGCTTTAGCAAAAGTATTATGCTTACTATTATCTAATTATTAGTTTACTGTTGATTATTTGTAGTCATGTATTATTTAAATCATTAAACAGATTATAAATTAATTTTAAATATTCAATCAATGAAGTTATCAACAGACAATAGCTTTTAGGTAATTTGATCTGATAACAGTTTAAGTTTACATTACTTCTTCACTAGATCTCAGGTTTGAATGGGTTTAAATATTTAATCAGAAATGTAGATTATCCAAAAAGGCTTCTACATAATCTACAAAAATTCTACAAAAAGGCTTTTTCACACCCAGCGCTGTAACTAGTCTTTTATGTGCCTGGTGCGAGCTTCTGTAACTACACCCAAAACTATGATCCAAAACTTGGTCCAGGTCATTTCTGTGCCCCCCAGGGTCTGCACCCTATGCTTGGGCACCACTGGCATCACCCTAGTTAATAATTAAGGCACTGTTCACACCAAGAACTCATTTAAAACATACTGAGGTTTGACCATTTATTTGAGGCTGCAACATAAGTAAATTGTAAAAAGCAAAAGGTTTACTGGTGATTGGATAATACATCAATTACATTAAAATTTTTTTTATTAGTTTAAATATATTTGAGATTTTCAGTTTTTAATGGGGGATTGTTTTAGTCAATGTTTATGCTGTAATAACAAGTATGGTTATTTTTATATTAAATAAATGATTTGTATTCAGAAAGATACAGCCAGTTAATTAACAGCTTGACAAGTTTGGAAAATAATAATGACTTATAATTATTATGTTGTGAATGTCATACTCAGCTGATACTGGTGCTTAGTGCTATACCAGACTAAAGTTAAAGCATAGCTAAACAAACAAGTGTAATATTAAGCTGTGTTATTGGTATATGTGTGGATGCACAAAAATGGGTCTCCCTTACTTGTAGGGAAGGGGACCCCGTTGCCCATCAATATTATAAGTTAAAGTAATAATGAGCTAGAGTTTTGTAGACATACTGCAGAACAGACTGCACAATATATAAAAGTTATGCCAGGTTAGAGGGCTGGGCTGGAGAACGGATGGGAGCCCAAAAGAAGTATTCGATGGTTTAGCTATGTCATCCCTGTCTACCTTGTCAGGTATCCAACCAGCTTTATGATTAAGGCATAGTCTCTTTAACCCTGTAGTGCCATTGGGCAGAGTTGCTTTATGAGGGTATATATGTGAACATTAGAAACTTCCTAACAATGTGACATGTTCAATATTGCAGCTTTCTGTAGTGTCATGTATATGTTTTTATTAAGGTTTAATGTTTCGAAATTTTTATATAGTGTATTTGGTATAACACCAGTAGAAGAGAGGACAACAGGTACCATAAATATCTTATCCATCCTCCATATATATCTTTGAGTGAGTGGAGTGTAATTGTTGATTTTTTCAGAGTGAGCATTTTTTTATAAGTGTTTGGAATGGAATGGAATGAAATGAAATGTCTATTACATAAGTGATCATACTGCATTTGTCAATGAGGTAACATCAGGTCTATTGTGATGAATTGTTCTATCTGTGATTATGGCTGTGTTGTTGTATATTTTGTGTGTTATTTTCTAATATTCCCTGTGGGGTATATTTGTAGTATGGTACCTGGATGTTTAATAATTTGTGCTTCTGTGAGAGCTCTTGGTGTATTATATTTGCTACTTGATTATGTAAATAACACCAACAAAACCTTCAAAATTAAACCAGCAAATATATTTTAATATAAAGATGCTATGACAAGTACTTTCAATCCTAATTGGGATCTGCTTCAGGTTAAAACATTTGATAAAAATTAGAATGCTAAAAGAGCAATTTTAAACTTTAAAATTTCTGGAACATTAAATATTCAAACAAGTATAAAAATCATATCTATGTGTTAACATTAACACTAAAAAATTAAAATTATCAATAACATCAAAATAAAAATTAACATAAAAATATAGAGAATATATTTGTTACAAATCCTAACGGAAGTAGTTTATTTTTATTTCTTATTAATGTTGTTGGGATCGTTAAAAAAAAAGGACCTCCAAGCTTTTGAGATGTTTGCCGCCTCCTTAAAATTGATGCATTGCCCCTTTAGCTCGGCTATACAAATTTCAAGAGCTTCCAAAATTTTGATCTGATAGGTGTGAAAGCTGCATCTAATGAGACTGGGCTGCTGTAGTTTAGCTTCCACACCAATTTCTGAAGCATATATTGCTAGAGTGGTGGTCTGCTTTTTGTTATGTATTGTTATGATGTTGTATTTATGCTCTGCAGCCATTTTTTAAGAGACTTTTTGGTCGAACCAATGTACATCAGATCTCTGAGAAATCTGTTGTCTCTCTCACCAGTATACTGTATACCCTGGTGCGTTGTATGTGTTAATGGTGTCGTTGCTGTTTCTTAATAACGAATAAACAGATGGGTTATGTCTGTTATCTCCCACCCTGTATTAGTAGCAATTCTCTATATAAAGCCTTTAACCCCCAGTCATAATCAATTAGTGTAGGTTGGTCTGTACACTAAATCCTTACTATCACCCCTGTTAAGATTGGAATTAGTGTAATCGCACTACTTATTCAGTCTCTTAATATAATCCTCTGCTAATCTTTGTACCATTATTCTAGGGTAACCATGTGCTACTGTTATTTCTTCAATAAGTGTTAATTTTTCAATGTATGAAGGCTCTTTTTGTGAGGACTCTAAATGCTGCTATTTTGTATGTATACAATCAATTTAGGTCACTGGTATGAATATTGGCAAGTACCCTGGTTTATAATTTGGCCTGTTTTTAAAAATGGAGAACTATTTCATAAAACTACAGATTTTTAATCAAAATCTCTCAATTCCATTAACTTTCAATTTCTAATGAATACCACAATTGTCTTAACTAATTTGAATGCTGTGTCACGTGTATTAACTTTGTACAATCTGACAATGCAGAACAATTGTTCTACATTGTCTGTGTACAAAGTGACAACTATAACAGAAAATGTAATTTTTCAAACTTGAATGAAGATTGTTGGTATGGCATATATTTGCATTGCCAATGATGATAATATTGACATCATAAACATTTTGGTGCTAAAGTCAAAAAGCACACTGCTGATCATGATTCAGCTCAAGTCACTTTGGGGAAGCTGAAAGCAATGAGCTTTGTATTAAACAATGAATATAAGTTTTAATCTGCAGGATCATGACATATTTTGTATTACATGTTAACCAGTATTTTGAAGTAAGTGAACTTGTTAACTCTGAAATGCTATTCTTGTCCACAGAACCACAAATCTACTTTGCATTAATGCAGACTTCACATAAATGTATAATGTAATAATACATAATACATTTTATGTATACAGTAATGTATTATTACATTATACTTAATTTGTTGTTCACAGATATTTAATGTTACAAAAATTTAATCAAATTATTATTAGATTCTTTTAATTAAAATAATATTGATGCTAAAAAAATTACTTAAATATATAGTGCATCTTTGGTCATATTTATAGTATATTATATTAAAATGGGAAACAGCTTTTTACTAATAAACAATTATTTCAATAATTAATTTCAGAGAATATGCTGGTTTAATGGATGCTGTTTGGGATCGTGGGGCTTTTGAAGCTGTTGAAAAGGAAGACAGGAAAAGGTATTTTATTAATAGCATATTGAAACTTTCTTATTTACAAAATGCATTTCAATTATGTAATAATTGATCAGTGATAAATAAAGATTGTCTGTTAAGAATGCAAATTTCTTATTTTTTCTATACAGTTTATTCACCCAAAAGTCTGAGTTTTTGAGAATAAATAAAATTGAATATAGTTTCACTATATTTTATCTCAACTTCTAAATGCACATTTAGTATTTGTAGAATTAAAATAGACAATTCTTTAAAAAATAATACTGCCAAAACAGGAACATTGAAAACTATTTTTGTTTTTATCCTGATGTTTGAAAATGCATTGTGCTGAAAGTCTGTACACAATATCAAAAGATATCTTATTATTACTTATATACAATATGAACAATACAAAATGTCTACCAGATTCACTACGCAAATAAGGCAAAGCGGCTATCTAATTGTTAAGCTTTTAAAAACTTCGCAAATCACAAAACCAAAGACATACAGTAATTATTTAAAATTTGTAAAAATACAATAAACATTTAATAATGAATCAAATCTGGATAATTTACAGTAATCCGGATAATTCAAAATTAGATATTAAGTTTTAATGATTACAATGACAGCTATTTTGAATATAATTTGCAATATATATGTTGTACTATAAATTTTAAGATATTTTATATAATGTTAGTAGCTTAAAAATTACATAATCAGTTTTATAATATATGTAGTCATATACAGTGATATATGTAATCAGAAATAACATAACTGTAATATTAAAATCTCTAAATAATGAAATAAGGATTCTTGACATTTGGATTAGTTTTTACTATTGTCATCAAAAGTTGTATATCATTTATTTGGACAATTTTTGCTCCTTTATGATATATACAGTGGAACCTCACTTAACGAGCACCTTGCATAATGAGCAAAACAAATTGTAAAAAATTGCCTCAATTAATGAGCGATGTTTTGCATGACGAGGAGAGGGAAAGTCCCAAATTGTGCGCATGCTCCATCAATCTGTGTTTAGCACTTGTTCCACTAGCATCTTAGTGTTGCTTGTGATCACATATTTCTCCAAACTTGTGTTCACACATATTACTTTTAAACAACAACCATAGCCCATTATATAATAAACACACCAAACAATATGCCAAATTCTTGCACTATGTAAAGGCTATAATTAAATAATAGAAATGAATTAATTTGACTAGAGATAAGCATTATTAAATTAATACTAGATGGAAGCATAACTGCCTACCTCTAGTCAAATTAATTAATTTCTATTATTTAATTATAGCCTTTACATAGCCCAAGAATTTGCATATTGTTTGGAGTGTTTATCAAACATATCTGTGATATTTTTTTTTCTGCAAATCGAATTCTCATTTCAGGTTGGTTCATTCTACACTAGAAGAAAAGATGATGATGATTCATGTTCCTTAACAATGCACATTGTACAATTTTCTTTGAATAAATGTTATACATAAAATATTTGAGTATTTTTTTCAGCATGGAACACATTATCATATTTTACATTAATTTGGGAAAAATTGTTTCGCTTAACGAGTGTTTTTCATTATGAGTATGATTCTGGAACAAATTATGCTCATTAAGCGAGGTTCCACTGTATAGTCAAACCTGTCTAAACCGGAATCAGACAGGTCCAAAATACCATTCTGGTTTGAACTGGTTTCCAGCATCTACAGTGAAATTTGTATATGACAAAAAATAAAACACTAGAAAACAATCAGTATTTATTTCAAGTTAAAAGTAATCATAAAACATATGTTTTGAACTTATGATTCCAATCTTAATGCACAATATGTAACAAATATGTAAAGTTAATACATATTTAAGTAATTATTGAGTAACTATTTTCAGTAATTTTAAGTAATTATTGAGTAACTATCAAATTTTGTACAAATAAATACATATTTTCCAGTCTAAAATTACCTCTTTTGAATATTTCTTATACATTAAGAAATGGAGTAGTCATATACTTTTTTAAAATTAATTTCAGAATTATATTTGTTTTGTTTTTTAAATTTTACATATAAATTATTATTATTATTATTATTAATGCATTGTTTTAATTTAATAATAATATTTTCTAGATATGTTGACTTGATACTATCTCTTCTTGCTCCAGGATACCGATATTTGCTTTCAGTTTTTGTTTATAATGATTGGTTTTATTCAGGTGAGAATTGATTATAAACTTTAACTTCTTTACAATAATTAATTTTGTGTAATAAAAGTTTATAAAATGTGTAACAACTCCATAGATAAAATAAACATGAAGTAAGGTTTTAAATAATCACAAAAACACTGGAAGAAAAGATATTCTAGGGCTTTCAAATGATTTTCACTTATCAGAAATACTTAAAGAACTACTCAATAATTATAAAGACAAGTTTTTTAAAAATATATAAAAACATCATGAGTATGCACAAAAAAAATTGTTGCTTTTTTCTTTTCTGTCATTCACCAGTGACAGTCCAAATAAGAATTCTCAAACACAGAGATGACCTTTTCTTTGACGCTCCACTTTTGCAATAGAATGAAAATAGAAACAGCATCCTCTGATTAATTTTGCCAACATCACAATATAATACTTAGTAAAATTTTAAAACTTGGCCAATAGTATTTAGTTGTTTAAAAAATATATAAAAATACCATGAATATGCACAGAAAAAATTCTTTCTTTTCTGTCATTTACCAGTGACAGTCCAAAATAAGAATATGATATTTTTATATATTTTTTAAAAAATTAAATACCCTTGGCCAAGTTTTAAATTTTTTTCTTTATGTATTATATTGATATTGACAAAATCAGCTAGGGAATGCTGTTTCCATTTACATTCTATTGCAGAGGCAAAGCCTGAAAGAAAAGGTTATATCAGTGCTTTAGAATTCTTATTTTGGGCTGTCACCAGTGAAAGACAAAAAATAAAACAAAACCAAGAATTTTTTCTGCACATATTCATGATATTTTTAAATTATTTTTTAAAATTAAATTCTGTAAGCCAAGTTAAACTTTTACTTTATGTAAAAGCAATGCCACACATTAAGTATTCATTGATTGCTGAATAATTAACTTTCACCAAAGTATTTGGCAAAGTGTGTGCATGCATGTACACATACATGATTATTTGCCATGCATTGGTTTGTGGGAATGACAAATATTTGTCAGAGATATAGAAAATGGACAATTCTCAAACAATTTATGCCATTGCTTTTGCAGTTATGAGCAGTTCATATCTGTTAATGAAAACAAATAAATCTAGAAGATAGCGAGAGGATGGTGTCACTTAACCAAAGCAAAAAATGCAAGTATCTAGAGTGAAATTCTAAAAACTAGATTTTTTTGTATTATTATTTTAGTGAAATGGCTATAAATTGGCATTATTTTGTAGAAACATGACAGAAAGCTTTTGGTAGATTGTTAAAAGAACTATCTGAAGAATTTCAAAATTTTCATATAATGTCATTTGAGTATTCATTGTCAATTAAACTATTCATTTTGAAAAATATGCAAAGTGGAAAAAAAGTGATTCTGGCAATATAACATTTAGCCTTAATGAATAACGATGTTTGGGAAGATGGTGATGGATTGCTTTTTGAAAATTAAGGAAATGTTAAAATTGTTAAACTTTGGTTAGGAGGAATCTTAGGAGATTAACTAGATGACATATTTCGATTTTAATTTTATTCCGAAGAGTGGTTGTCTATTTAGTTCATTGCAATATCTAATTTGCTCATCAAGTGCTCTTAATTTTTCAGTGACTAATTTATCATATACATTGCAGACATCTTTTTGCTTAACACTGGTCTTGTTATGTTTGTAAAATAGAATATATATCATTCAATTTGCTTGAGTTCATTTGCTTCAAAAAAAAAATTTTTTTTTTTCAAATGGAGCTTGAAAGAAAACTTTAAAGTTGGGTGATACTCCTGATGCAAAATAATTTATTATATATAATATATTACTTAAAATTTGTTAGAAATAAAAAATTTTAAGGCAGTGTTTGGCCAGCAATTATAAGCACTATCTTTGCCAACTGATATATTTGTTTTTTGAGATATTGTCCTTGTTGCTTTATAATTTTCCCCTTTGTTTGTTATATTGAATGCCCTGAAACATTTTTAAAAAATACAGTACGTACAAAAGTAACACTTTGACTCCAGTCTATACCTGTTAATATTTAAAATATCAAAAATAGACTACTACTAGGTAAATGTTTTCTTTGTTTTAAATTTCAACAGATCTAGATGAATGGAAAAAGATAGCTTGCTGTCTTGAGAATGTATGGAATTTTTTCTTACTGTATTGGTTCCATGGATGAGAAATACTGTACTGTACGTTCTTATACAATTTCCAATGAATAATGGATCTAATTTCAACAGTTATAAGTAGTATTTCAGCATAGTATTAATGACACTTGTAGATGTTGATTACTGTTTTCTATTTGCTGATTTGTAGTTGTCAAGGAAGGTTTGGTGAATGTGGCTTAAGTATTTATAGGGAATGATTCATTTGGATTAAGCAAATAAGTTATGAAACCTTATCTGAAGTTACATGGAACAGGAAGCAAGAAAATAATTTTCAACTATCATCTGTCACAAGCTCATTGAATTATAGAAAATGTATTTGGATTAATTAATGGCTTTCTGTATTTTGTGGAACCAGTGCTACTTCAATCAGAAAAGGTTTCATTAATTGTAATGACTTGTGTTTTTCTTCACAATTTTTTACAAAAAATCAAAAGATCACATTCAAACTATCACCAGGAATCTTTTTTATTATGAAGAATATGGAAATATACCCAGCTTATGGTGCAAGGATTAGAGTAATATGTCATCTATATTACAGGGTGACAATAATTAACCCATAGAAGTTTTTTGCATCGTAAATTTATTAAAGAAATGAAAATTAGTAAAACAACAGCGAATAGCAGTGACAATACTTTATGTATTAATCAGATATTCAGCCGGTTTCAAAGTGGCCTCTTTTTACCTTAATACAGAGCCCCAAACGCATTTCTAAATTCTCGGCAATGGGCCACAGCTCTTCTGGAGACAGTTTGTCCCAATTTTCCTGGCACAAGGATTACTTCAGCAACTCCAAACTTTTGTGGTGCTTAGCGCAGGCCCTAACCTCCAAAATGGACCACACACTGTAGTCCATCGGGTTCAGATCCAGTGAGTACGGTAGCCATTCCGCAGACAAGATGAAATCAGGAAATGAGCCTTGCACCACTCCTGAGTCTTCTTTCACCCTATGTGCCGGCGCTGAGTCCTGCTAAAACGTCCATTTTACACCGCCAAAATGCTGCTGAGCCCACAGAAGTACCATGGCCTAGCGAATGTCACAGCGGTATACGTCTTGATTGATTTTGGCCTGTTGATCAATGAAAACAAGAGGTGTCTTGCTGCTTTTACAAATTCTGGCCCAAACATTGGATTTTGGCAATGTTTGACGACAGCTGAGCATCCGGGATCCTCCACGGACCAGTTCCTGTCATTTTTATTGTTGTGTGCCTGTTGTATGGAGAAAAGCTTGTCTGTGAAGAGAGTGCACTCCCATTGTCAACCTGTGGCCCAATGCTTGAGTTGACAGCATCTTTGGAGATGCATGCACTTGTTTTCATCAGTGAGGAGCTGAACCTTTTGGAACTTGTAGGGCTTGAGTCTGAGTTCCTTTTTCACCATCAACTGCACCGATTTGCAATTGATTCCGATCTCACGAGCAATTTTTCTTGTGGAGATCTTTGCATGTCAGTCAACTCACTTTTTGGTAAACTTGCGGTTCCTAGATGTGTTGATGGTGCTTTCTTCCACATCCAGGATGGTCACCATCATGGCCAAGCTCCTTGAATTGTTGAACTGCATCTGAGATTGTCATTTTGGGAACACTGAGCAAATGAATAATTTCACATTGATGCTTTCCTTACCAGAATAGCTCCAAAATTGCATGTTTGTTCGACATTCTTAAAAAAATAAAGAACTAACCCTTATTATACCGAAAGCACATCTACATGGGCAGGAAATCAAGGAGAATTAAACAACAGTATGTAAATTGGTGACGGTAAAAAAGTTCAGGTGCAGCATTGCTACAAACTTTGTATGGGTTAATTATTGCCACCCTGTACTACTATAAAAGATTCCAAGAAAACCCAGCATAGATACAGTATGCAAATTGCTGGTCAACTATACAGTACTTAGTTTTTTTGAAGGAAAACTTCAAAAAATTGACTCATGTAAATTGTTGCTATTGAGAATATTCAAGTAATTAAACTTTTAATACAAAATTTAGCAATACTTTTGTATTCTGTTAAAAAATAAATATGATAAAATTTTAACATTAGATAATTAAAACAATAAGAGATATAATATAAGATCATATTTATTCATATTTAAATATTAAGTTTAAAATCACTTAGTAAAAAGTAATTTTTTTTTTCTTTTTGTATGTATTATTTAAAGTACTTCATTATATTAAAAAATATTTCAGGTTATCCAAGAAATGTTCCTGATAACTTAGTGCATTTTTTATTTGGTAATTATCAAATATTTTAATATATTTAAAATATGTTACAATATAAAATTTGTGTATTAATTCAAAATAATGATTAAACCTTTGTAACTGATTTTCTGTATGGATATCTACAAGAAATTCCTTCTTGAGAATCAAATCCAAATGTTACATGGCTTTGATTCTTTACTAACATGCAATCAAAGCCAGAATGTTATTTGGCTTTTATTGTCTGATTCTCAGGAAGGAATTAGCATGTTTGCTGGCCAGGATTCGGAGGCTTGGCCAAAATATCAAGAGTCAGACATTTGGTCATTGCTGCAATGCACAGATCAAAGCTTATTATAGACATTTTGGCTAAAAACAGTGTAATACAGCTATACCATCTACCTGCATTATTTGTCATATTTATTACCTTGCAACTATCTACTTCCTCTTCCTCAAACTTAATTGTAGATGAAAGGTCACTACAGTCGACCCCCCCTATAACACGGTAGATACGTTCCGTTCTTTATGAATCGATTTCTTACGAGTCCTTGCCAATCACACCTGACACGTGTGAAGTTTATGGACTACAGCTGTTTGAGAGGTTTTCTTCCATAAAATTAATCAATTCTAGACTAATTCGACTCAACATTTCCAAAATATGTATATTTTTTTTGGAAATAATCAGTATAAACTATGCTATAAACAAAAATTTGTAGGATTACTTACTGAGTGTGCACCATTTGATGTCGCCATTGCTCAAGTTTGTTTTCATCGCGGAGCAACACACCAAACCGCGGCCATGATTTCTGATAAGTTATTTTTCTGCAAAAACTTCGTTGAACTTTGGAGACATCATTAATATAAATAATTTTTATGGCCGTTGAATAAGAAATGTTTCTTTCACAAGAAATGTATAAAATTAGTGT